ACGAAGCTCGAACCAAAGAGTTACCGGTGTATGTTCCTCGGATATGCGGAGAACACCAAGGGATACAGGGTGTTCAATCTGGAAAGGTCGAAGGTTGTCATATCGCGCTCCGTAAAGCTGGACGAGCGGGAAGTTGAAGGCATATACGACACGGTGGTACCAGATAAAGTACCAGTCGTCAAGTATATTAGGGACACTGATGAAGCAGTGATTCCGGTGGTTCGTTCGTATGATGGAGACGAGACGACGGAAGATGTCGAAGAAAGCGCTCCTGATGTCGAGATGGACGAGATAGAATCGGCTCCATTCGAAACAGGTATCATCATACCTCAAGTACTCGATCCAGAAACTCAAGAACCAAGAGGCGATGAGATAACGGGATATCAAGCTCCGAGACGAGCTTTTCAGGAGGACAGGTTGGTATTTCAGCCGGAGATAAATCGGACAAGACGCTCACGAGACAGAATGCTGCTGCTTGAGAATGGGAATAGCAGTGAAGACACGTCAGAAGGTAGCGATGGACCACCTTCTCCAAAGCGTGCAAGAATTGATGACGAAGGTCTCATTGCAGAGGCTGTATTAGCCTATGCTGCAAGCGTTGGCGAGGCGGACGACGCTCCATCAACATACAGCCAAGCGTTAAAAGGCGAAGACAACAGCAAGTGGATTCAAGCGATGCAAGCGGAGCTCAAGGCGCACGCCGATAACGGGTCCTGGACACTGGTACCAAAACGGCAAGACATTCGACCAATCGGGTGCAGATGGATATTCGCTAAGAAGCGAAACGAACTTGGACAAGTGGTGCGCTACAAAGCTCGACTCGTCGCAAAGGGGTTCAAGCAGAAATTCGATGTCGACTTCTTCGAGACGTACTCTCCCGTGGCAAACATGAACTCGATCAGGGTTGTGCTAGCTGTGGTGGTGACAAAGGGATACGTCACTGAGCAGCTGGACGTAGACACGGCGTTCTTGAACAGTGATCTCAAGGAAGAGGTGTACATGGAAGTGCCAAATGGCATAGCTAATGCGGAGAAGATGATGTGCAAGTTGGACAAGGCAATCTACGGTCTCAAGCAGGCTGCAAGTGCGTGGAACAAGACAATCCATGCTGTATTCTTACAGATCGGACTTCGTAGCAGCGGAGCAGATCAGTGTATCTACGTCAAGCATCAAGATGACAACTATGTCTATGTTTGTCTCTACGTCGACGACATGATCATCGCCGCCAAGACCAGCAGGGAGATTCAAGAGGTCAAGACAGCACTCAAGAGCTCATTTCGTATGAAGGAGCTAGGCAAGGCTAAATTTATTCTTGGCGTGGAGATTGATCATGACCACAACTGCAGTAAGCTGATGATTCGACAGACTCGATACATCGATGATGTGGCCAGCCGTTTTAATCAAGAGGACGCAAAGGCAGTGGTCAACCCATGCGAGTCCGGCCTGAAGCTGTCAAAGAAGCAATCCCCAACGACGGATGTCGATAGAGCAGAAATGCAGTCAAAGCCGTACAGGTCGCTGATCGTATGTTTGCTATACATCACGACATGTACGCGCCCAGATGTGATGTATGTCATCACGCAGTTATCAAGGTTTTTGGAGAATCCAGGTCAGCAACATTAAAAGGCAGCTATTCGTGTTCTTCGGTATCTCAAGACGACAAGAGACTACGGGATAATCTACGACGGCAGCGCTAGCGAAGTAACAGCTACAGCGTATACGGACGCGGACTGGGGTAGCAACATCGATGATCGACGCTCCGTGTCAGGGATAATGGTGATCATCGGTGGCGCACCAGCCATATACAAGTCCAAGTATCAACGCACGGTGGCTCTAAGCTCTGCTGAGGCAGAGTACATGGCTTTAAGCCTGTGTACACAGGAAGTGTTATGGGTTCGTGCGCTGCTTAAGGATCTAGGTCACGAGCAAGTGGGAGCAACGTGGGTCTGGGAAGACAATCAAGGAGCAATTGGGCTTGCCAGCAATGCTGGCTACAATGCCAGAACCAAGCACGTTGACATTCGTCACCACTTCATCCGGGAGAATGTGGCCCACGATATCATCGTGGTCAAGTACATCTCCACCATGGACCAATTGGCCGACATGCTAACGAAGGATCTGGGGACCAAGCGACTGAACTATTTGATACAAGCAAGCTGCATTGGACCCAAGGGCATTTAGCAATAGCGGTGAGTGGGAGTGTTAACATAGCACCGTCTACTGCTTTTTATGTTCATGGATAGGTTTGGAAGAATCGAGAAGGACTGGCTGAGAAGAAGCACAGCATGACGTCATCGGGTGACGTCACAAGGAGAGCTTCTTAAACCTTCTGGAAGATCTTGAGAAGATCGAAGGGTGTTGATTGGTCTAGATAAACCAGTGAACCTTCTAGAAGATCTTGAGAAGATCGAAGGGTGTTCATTGGTCTAGCTAAATCAGTGGGACTGATATAGTTTGTCTAAGTATAGGAAATGAGTGGCTTAAAGGTAGCGAAGCAAGTTTGCGAACTAAGGACCATAAATATATTCACTTCACAATTTGCCTTCGCCTGCGCACATCAACATCAACACAGCAAGATAAATATGGTCGAAGAAGTGATGTTCGATGGTATTTGAATGCGACAATAGTGACGTTCAAGAAAGTTTAAGGGATTGGCTGCTGCATGTTGTGGGAGCTCATTCAAACGCCCAAGCACCAGGAGCCTCATGATGACGAGTCATTTGCGCAATCGAGCACAAAAAGCTTACGTACTAACTGAATACCTGCCTTAGAAAGAACGGAGCGCAGAGCTTGTCAAGCACTCAAAGTGACAAGTTTATCAGGACAGCAACTTGTGTGCTGTTTGAACCTGCACTGGTGGAAGTTAGCACACTATGGCAGAGTACGTTTACGGACGGTGATCATTTGAGCACTGTGGTGAGTTCAGATAGGAGTGTCATTGATGTGTTAACATCTATGGGTGAGTCTAAGCTCAAGTCGATACCGATCCATTTACACCTTTCGAGTGCTTCGCTGGGTTCATACTCGTGTACGAACACACATGATGGCTATCAAGACGTGAATTATTCCTCTTCTGTCCAGCGATACATATCCGTCCAGCATGGATCAATCTCGAAAGACCGCGAGAAAGGAGTATCGTAAATCCATGACGGCTTTGCGAGCCTACAAAATTGAGGCTGTAGATCAGAGGTGAACGGACCTTTGTTTCGTCATATCGAGTATGACACATTCGGGATGTCATACGAAGCAAGTACTGCGAGTTCTACGTGCAACTCCAACAAGCTGGCTCGAAGACCTAATAAGATAGTGCTGAATCCGACACAGTGAAAGCAGAGATTCTGCAGAGATGAGCTCGGAATGGCGTGGTATGTAGAAACCACGGGTCGAACATACATGTGCAAAGCAACATTCAGCGTTCGCGGTGGTCTGTTGGCGTCAGATCAATTTTGCTTGGCGTGTTAGCCCTCAGCTAGCCATTAGAGATCTGTTAAGGTTCAGCGAAGCTCACTTACTCAATTCGTGGGGTTTCAATCGCTCTTATTCACCAGGAATACTGTTCACGAGCATCAACTAACGCGCTCAAAAGTGCCTGGTCGGAACGCAGAAAACGAACTGAGTCGACTCAGCGTCATCTAAAACTGTTTTTCTCGCACTACCTAATACCGTTCATCCGCGTTCTTGAGACCTCCACTTAGTTTTCCGAGTTCTCATCAGGTCTGACATCAGATACATCAAACCGATTCCATTCGTAATCGCCTTGCATAAGCAATGCTACTCTAGCACATTCGCATAGAATACGGATCATCTACGACACGATTATCGATGATTTGGGCTAACGCTGAAAACCCGACTACGGCCTGAATGTAGCAATATTGACTGTGAAGTTGTTGTTGAGCTGTCACAACGACTTACGTTTTGTCTGTGCGTATGAAGCGTCGTCCACTGCCGTCATCAAAAGAGTGGGTGTATTCTTGCCACGTCGTATTCTTTGTGACGGTGCTGTAGCGATCACGAAGTTATTTGCGCGAAGAACAAAAGCGGTGACTGCAGAAATGGGACAGAAACGGCAGTCTAGATCGTAGAGACGTAACACAATGACAGATAGAACGAAGAAGAGGAGTACGGTCAAGATAGTTGTACGCCTGCGATGCCTGCAGAGTATCTATTTGCAGGGCCGAAAGTTCTCGGTGGTGAGCTTAGGCTTGACGGGTGCGCTGTAAACTTAGATGAGAGCAAATGCCGAACATCCCGACGCTTGACGTGCGCATGTCCGTGCTTCGTGCGTCGATTAAAATTCTGTGTACAGCGTTAGCAGCAGCTGTGTGAAGTCGAATGGTTGTCATTTTGCTTACGGTAGAAGTTGTGTTTGTGATAGTGGCATGCGATATGCGAAGAACGAAGGTCGATTTCAGTAAGAAGAAGATCTATTTGACGAGTTCACGCGATAATGAGGCGTGTTATATGTGCGGTTACAACGGCATGTTGAACGGCACGAATCCTCTTAACGTAATGCTGATTTCATCCGTGTTCTTCTATGGACCGATCACGCAACAATTTAGCGAGCCGCAGTAGCTGCTGTTGGCGTAGATGCCATGATCTTTCATCTGCGGCACGCGGCTGCTTGTCTACTCAATGTTGAGTTGATTCTTAGCTACACTGAAGCCGAATCGACGAATCAGAACGCGGATCGATTGTACACGTGCTTCGGCAACCATGCGACAGTACCCTTATCTTCGTTTTATGTGCTCTAGCTGTAGATAACATGTTGGGGTAGTTGGATGTAAAAGCCGAAGTGAATATATTTAAGGTCCTTAGTTCACTACCCTTAGCTAAGTCTAAGCCTTGATGTAACGACATCCTGTGATCTCATCATGTAACCGCGATCCATAACCTTCTTCCGTAATAACCACCATGAAACACCCTGACACAGAAATCATCACCATGAACCCAACATGAAACGACTGCACGAAGCGGCGTATTCTCAACACTCCCACTCGCCGCTACTGCTTGGTTTCTTTGCACTTGATACTGTTTGCATCGCGCAGGAACTTGAACGTCTTGGATCCTAGCGCCTTGGTCAGTATGTCGGCCAATTGATGTTTGGTGTCCACATACGCTACCGCAACAGGTATTTTTCCGTTTATGAGAGAGCAGTTCAGCATCCATGGCTTCACGCCACTGTGTTGAATCTTCACTGGCAATTGCCTGAGCGTATGTTGTAGGAAGATCCACTGTGTCAATGCTTGCTGCGTACGCGAGGACGGCTTCAGCAATAAGGCCGTCTTCATAGATCCTGGCACGCTTCGGATAGGACGGTCCATCTCTTCCTTCCGACTTCCGTTCGTCCTCTGCGTCCGTTCCCTCTTCAAGAAGGAAGACTGGTTCCCGGGAACTTCTAAAACGGTCTCTAGGGGTATGGAACACCACTTGATCGTCCTCGAAGATAGTCGGTGGTCCACGGTACGGTTCCAACTCAAATCCAGTGGGAGCTGACCGTTCTTGTGGCATCAGCAGCGGCGGTATAGCGTCCTGTATCGGGAGCATGCTCTCCATCTCTACATCCGGTGCGTCGTTCTCAACGCCTTCCATGGGTTCCGCTTCGACGGGTTGAATTTCCACTGGTGCGAGCGTGACTTTATCATCGGCGTCTGTGCTAACATGAATAACTGTTTTGATCTGAGCAGGTAGTGTATCGTAAATACCATCTACCTCACGCTCGTCCAATTTCACCGAGCGAGAAACTTTGACCTTGGAAGCGTCCAAGTCATAGACACGGTAACCCTTGACGTTTTCTGGGTATCCGAGCAGCAGACATCTAAAGATCTTAGGTTTAAGCTTCGTCCTCTTCGCTTCGTCAATGTGAGCGTACCCGCGAGAACCAAATACGCGTAGGTGATCTAGCGTAGGTTTCACTTTGAAACCTAGCTCAAACGGTGTTACGGTTGCGTTGTGCGTGTTCGTGGAACGGTTGATTAGATATACCGCAGTACTAACTGCTTCAGCCCACCACTCCATTGGAACGCCCTTGTAGTATAGCATACTTCGAGATCTCTCCATGATAGTTCGGTTCATCCGTTCTGCCACTCCATTCTGCTGAGGGCTATACGGGACAGTCCGTTGGTGCACGATACCGTTCAATAAGGACCTATAATATTTTCACTTCGGCTTTTACATCCAACTACCCCAACAGGTTAACAGCCGCAACTCGGACAGCGGCGTCAAGACCAAGAACGCCTCGCCTCGCACGGATCGCACATGATGAGTACCAAGCGCGCCGAAGTCCTCCTAGGAAGTGGAAATTATTTCCATTGGGAGTTCAATATGAGGATGTCGCTCGCCAGAAAAGGACTGCTGGCGCACGTGGAGGTGGTCAAGGCGGAGAGTGAGATAACGGAAGCTTGGTTAGTAAATGACGCAAAGGCTCTCGGCATCATCGCGCAGGGTGTGGAACTACAACACCAGACAAAGATCCGTTCGTCGACGCGTGCTATTCAAGCGTGGGTAACACTTAGGGAGTTCTACAATCGCACTACACTCCACAATCGGGTCACGATGACACGGCGCCTCCACGAATTCAAGATGGATGCTGGAACGGCCATGGCAAAGCATTTGGACGCTTTCGACGAGCTCGTTGTCGGTCTTCAGACGCTTGGAGAGCCCGTCGACGAGGCACGGCAGCTAGTAGTGCTGCTGAGCAGCCTTCCAGCCGAATACGAGCTGATATCGTCGATCATCGAGAACGTCAAGGACATCACGCTCATCGAGGTGAAAGAGAAGCTGTTGAAGGAGTGTGAACGGTTGGAGAAGAAAGACACGACTTCGGAACGAGCATTTAAGGTCAACGCTGGACGTTTCAAGGGCAACAAGAGGAGTGGTCGCAAGTGGAGCGATCAGAAGAAGAACTCTAGTGGTTTCCAAGGCAAGTGTTTCAAGTGCAACAAAGTTGGGCACATGAAGCGGGACTGTCAAGAGGGAACAACAGACGGCGATGCGGTATTTGTTGTTAACACAGAACGTGTAAACGGATGGTTGATCGACAGCGGCGCGACCGCCCACATGACCCCGCGCCGTTCCGATCTGTTCGAGTATGAGAACGTGAATGGTGGCATCGAAGTAACAATCGCTGACGGAAAGAAGCTGCAGGTCACTGGACGTGGTACGGTACGCTTGCTTGGACTGGACGGTAAACGGATTAAGATGGTTGAAGTTCTTCACATACCGGGCCTCGATCGGCGTCTGTTGTCAGTGGGGAAGCTCGCGGATCGTGGACTGAACGTGGAGTTTCAGCGTTCCTCATGTGTTATATGGGGAGCGGCTAGCGCAATTGCGAAGGGTAAGAAGGTCGGCAAGGCTTACATGTTAGACTGTGAACAAGAAGAAGCTCGGTTCGTCCAGTACGCCGGGGCTGACAGCAAGTGGGAGCTTTGGCACGCTCGCCTGGGGCATCCCAACCAGGATGCTCTGGATAAGACAAGGCATGCCACGAACGGTATTCCGGCTGTTGGTCATTTGCCCCAGTCTTTGTGCGGCGGGTGCATGAAGGGGAAGCAAACGGTGGCTAAATTTCCGCATTGTTCCAGCTCGAAGACGTCGCGCGTTCTTGAGCTCGTCCACACGGATATGATGGGACCAATGAATAATCCTTCGAAAGGTGGTGCCAAGTATGTCCTGACGTTCGTGGACGACTACTCGCGCTACGTTGTGGCCTATTTCTTGAAAAAGAAGAGCGAGGTGGCCATTAAGCTTAGAGAGTTCATGACTTTTATGAGAATCAATGGGGAGAGCGCATGAAGTGTTTACGATCGGATAACGGAACGGAGTTTGTCAACCAAGAGATGACGAAGATATGAATGCGGATAGGTGAATCGTCTCCTAACGTTTGACCTTTCTTATGCGCTCAGCGGCCTAAACCTTCGTTTTTTCGCCTTGACTCTCATTCTGACATACGCCAAGCCAGGCGAACTACCCCACAGCATCGTACGCAGCTATCGTCCACAATCATGAACCTCAGGATCTGCGCATTCGTCACCCTCGCCGCGGCCGTCTCGATCGTCTCTACCGATGCCCAGTACTGTGTTAATACGCCAGCTTGCAATCTTTATCCTGCGAAAAGAGAATCTGCAGCAAGAGAGTGTATGAACCAAGATTCCGAAACCAATTTCAGCGCGCGTAAGTGTTGCACCGCGCACTGCTCACCGAAGAAGCATTTTCGCCAATAGTTACGCGCAGGCCAGCCATAGGTCATAGCGTCACTCGGAGTGTTCGCTTTTGTTTTGTTTGACGCAGCCATTGGATTCCCGACTCGCACCGCTACTGTGCTAGTCTACCGACCAACTTTTGTCTGCACGGTCTTTGATGTAATAGTTTGAATAAAAAAAGCAGTTATACTTGCCACAAACTTGTGATCTTACATCGTGCATTGCTGTTTGAGCATCCATCGCAATGTAATAATCGATTCTACTTTACGCCGACCTGGTCAAAAAGTCGAGTGACGGCCAGGCGTATACGACGTCACGTTACTTACTCTCAACAGATGTGGTTTAGTCCTCTAAGAATGGGATTGAAAATGACGTCGCCGTATTAAGACAGGAGAAAAAGCTCCGTACTTTTCAGTCGACAAACTTACTAAACAGAACTTACCTCACCCTTCTCTGTCGGTGGCAGAGGGGCCTCCCTTGATAAGATAGGGGAGCAAGCTTCGGGGCTTGCCCTTTGGTATGTGTAATTCAGTACAAGACTGAAAGATAGGGGAGCAAGCTCTGGAGCTCGTTCTTTGATAAGTAATCCAGTTCATCGAACTGAACTAGTTGCAAAACACCGTACAACAACAGACGATGGAGAACGATAAAATTGTTGTCAATTTATGTATCAATCTCGTACAGCATACTAGAGCAACGCGGATAAGCCTTTGCTTATGAGCGTCTAGCATTTACTTGTGTGACCATAATCACTATTGACCGATTATAAGCCATTAACAAGCGTGTGACACAATATTGACCAAGCCAAAGAGTGACTCTGGATATGCCTATATACCTATGAGGGGAGAACAGGCTTGATCGTACTTGGTTCGCGCGGGGTACACCTAGCCACGTTATTTACAGACACTCACACAGACACAGACGCACAGACACAGATACATACGAATAAAAAGTTCGGCATTCACCTGGCGCACAGTCACTAATATTTTCACTCTTAGAGCTCGCAAATTGTTTTTGGGTATCGATAGAAAGCTCGCATAACAAACTGAAATTATTTGAATGACCAATCTGATCAATAATCTTTTTAGGATGTATGGACGGTCAGGGGGCGCTGAGCAAACGCATCGCTTTCTCTCCCTCCCTTCAACCTCCTACCCCATCAGCATTTCACTTCACGTGCCGATCAAGTGCTTGCTTTGAGCCAACACAAAATGGAATGCGTCTCAAAATACTGTGCATGATCCATATGACTGTGGCACGATCCGTGGCCTGACTCATAAGGGATTGGGTAAGTGCACAATACGCACGAGCAAGTGCACTTTATGTGAACCACTTGCTTACATAACGATAGTTTTGCGAAGGGAAGCGCCACGGAGCTCTCACTTTTGCGAATAGACACTCGACCTCCTTTACAATTTAGGCTTCGATGCTTTTGATTGCATACATACAGCACAAAACGAGTTTCTTACAAAATCGACACATGATAACGACTCCAAAACGATGGAAAAGGATCTAGATTCGAAGTAGACGGGGAACAGAAGACAGGAGAGACGCTGTTTGAGATGTCGACGACCAGAAGTCTAGTGAATTTGCGCGGCTGGTGGCATTTGTGGTGCCAACAGTGCGTAGCGTGCGGCATGCGGTGTATTTACTCTACCGCATCGACTTACGCACAACTTGTTCGAAATTACTTTGTCCACGAGGTCCTCTGTATATAACACGCAGCACCTTCATTGTTGCAGACTACAGAGTATCACATCTTGTTGCAGGTATCATCGAGTGAGTCGAAATGCCAGCTTCGCCCACACGGTTAATGGCATTAGCATCCAGACGAGTAGCACAACGTCCCACATTGAATGCCTGGAGGCGAATGCCATCGGAACAGCATAGACGAAGTGACAATGTCGATGAGAACTCCTTCTCACGGCTTTGGTTTTTCAGCGGCAGCGGATTACATGGTTTGTAAATCGACGCCGTCTCGGTGCTTGTGCATCATTGTTATAACCTGGCACATTACCAACTATCGTTTCCTACTGTGTGTATTGTTATCTACAGCAAGAGCACATAAAACGAAGATAAGGGTACTGTCGCATGGTTGCCGAAGCACGTGTACAATCGATCCGCGTTCTGATTCGTCGATTCGGCTTCATTGTAGCTAAGAATCAACTCAACATTGAGTAGACAAGCAGCCGCGTGCCGCAGATGAAAGATCATGGCATCTATGCCAACAGCAGCTACTGCGTCTCGCTAAATTGTTGCGTGATCGGACCATAAAAGAAACACAGATGAAATCAGCATTACGTTAAGAGGATTCGTGCCGTTCAACATGCCGTTGTAACCGCACATGCAACACGCCTAATTATCACGTGAACTCGTCAAAAAGCTCTTCTTCTTACTGAAATTGACCTTCGTCCTTCGCATATCGCATGCCACTATCACAAACACAACTTCAACCGTAAGCAAAATGACAACCATTCGACTTCACACAGCTGCTGCTAACGCTGTACACAGAATTTTAATCGACGCACGAAACACGGACATGCGCACGTCAAGCATTGGGATGTTCGGCATGTGCTCTCATCTAAGTTTACAGCGCATCCGTCAAGCATAAGATCACCACCGAGAACTTTCGGCCCTGCAAATAGATACTCTGCAGGCATCGCAGGCGTACAACTATCTTGATCGTACTCCTCTTCTTCGTTCTATCTGTCATTGTGTTACGTCTCTACGATCTAGACTGCCGTTTCTGTCCCATTTCTGCAGTCACCGCTTTTGTTCTTCGCGCAAATAACTTCGTGATCGCTACAGCACCGTCACAAAGAATACGACGTGGCAAGAATACACCCACTCTTTTGATGACGGCAGTGGACGACGCTTCATACGCACAGACAAAACGTAAGTCGTTGGGACAGGTCAACAACAACTTCACAGTCAATATTGCTACATTCAGGCCGTAGTCGGGTTTTCAGCGTTAGCCCATGTCATCGATAATCGTGTCGTAGACGATCCGTATTCTATGCGAATGTGCTAGAGTAGCCTCGCGTAAGCAAGGCGATTACGAATGGAATCGATTTGATGTATCTGACGTCAGGACTGATGAGAACTCGGAAAACTAAGTGGAGGTCTCAAGAACGCGGATGAACGGCATTAGGTAGTGCGAGTAAAACAGTTTTAGATGACGCTTAGTCGACTTAGTTCGTTTTCTGCGTTCCGACCAAGCACTTTTGAGCGCGTTAGTTGATGCTCGTGAACAGTATTCCTGGTGAATAAGAGCGATTGAAACCCCACGAATTGAGTGAGTGAGCTTCATTGAGGTACTTAAAAGATCTCTAATGGCTAGGATGGGGGTTTACACCGCCAAGCTATGAAAAAAAAACAGGGGCTATACAGCTACCCTCCGACCGTAGGAAGCAACCGCCGATAGAGCAGAAATACTTGGACCCGGGGTATGTGTTGGAGGAAATGCCTGCCACTCGTGCACGTCAGTGCGGAGAAACCGTTGCACTCTTGCAATCAGTGGTCGATTGTCAGTAGCGCACGTTTGCTGTGACGTTTTGGAGTCCATCGCAATATTCGCAGCCAAGTCTTCCATTTTGTTGTTCGCGCGGTAGTGATGAGACCACCCGCAGATTCCTAGGCTATCCGCACATCTTCTCGCCTTGAGATAAAGTTGTCGGAATCGGGGTTGACGCGGAGGCCGATGCCGCCGCATTTGCTGGATAATTAAAGAGCTGTCACCGACCACGTACAATGGTGTGAGATGTCTAGTTTCAGCGTGACGGAGGCCATGAATAAGCCCCCGATATTCCGCCATGTTGTCGGTTGTGCTGTTATGCGCATATGACATGCTCGCCGCCCAGGTAATCTCTGATGCTCGCGTGTCCAGATCAACACAGACCATGACCGAACCGGATCCGCCTGGACCGGGATTACCACGCGAGCCGCCATAAAAAAAAGCACATAGGCGCCCCGGTCTCGAATCGGTGGCGAGAGAATCGTCCCGTCAATCGTCCCCTTGAGACGATCAGCCAGCGCCCTGGTAGCGGCATTCTTCGGAAGTTTTAAAATATCCGTGTCGAATTTATAACTCAATGAAACCAAATCGCGCAAGGCATTGTCTACTGTAACGCAAATTACCGCCCGCAATGTCGATTGAAGCGCATCTGGCTCGTGGCGGAGACGAAGTCGCGCACACCAGATGGCTTGAATTGTCGTCGCCACCGTCAGCCTCCACAAATCCCTGGAAACCTCCCACGAATTGAGTAAGTGAGCTTCGTTGAACCTTAACAGATCTCTAATGGCTAGCTTAGGGCTAACACGCCAAGCAAAATTGATCTGACGCCAACAGACCACCGCGAACGCTGAATGTTGCTTTGCACATGTATGTCCGCCCCGTGGTTTCGACATACCACGCGATTCCGAGCTCATCTCCGCAGAATCTCTGCTTTCACTGTGTCGGATTCAGCACTATCTCATTAGGTCTTCGAGCCAGCTTGTTGGAGTTGCACGTAGAACTCGCAGTACTTGCTTCGTATGACATCCCGAATGTGTCATACTCGATATGACGAAACAAAGGTCCGTTCACCTCTGATC